CAAATACTTCACATGCTCATCTTGTGTTTATGGCCTTCGCCCTAATACGTCTACAATCATGTTGTTGCATGACCATTGTCTGTTTGAACACGTCCATGCAAAACCACTGCCGCAGCCCGGCCGTGTTTGGCCTCTTTATTTCGACAGTCTGAACGATGCTCACTGTGTTGCTTATTATTTGGGACCTCTCATACCGCTTTGTCGTACGCCGAAGGTTAGGGCCGGTAACGTTCGGCACTCCCTTATCCTGAAAGCACACCTGACATCATTTATCTAAATGCATTAGTCTGCACCCAACCAATGCACTTGTCTCACTCACAAACAAACGGCACAGGGCGTCGTAGCTTTCGTGATGCTCTCCTTGTTATTGATTCAAACGACATAAGAAAGTCTCACTGTACTAATGCCTTTTTGAATCTGCGACATCTGTGGCTTCAGAATGGGGTTTCCCTGGGTTTTAAAAACCGTGTTTACAAGTCCACACTGAGAACCGTCCTAATCTATGGTAGTGAAACTTGGCTTCTCCACTCTGATAACCTGAGGCAACTTCAATTCTTTGACAATCGCTATCTACGGAGCATTACCGACGTCGGATGGCACCAGTGTGTTCGTAACGATGATGTGCGTAGGCGAGTGCTAGGCAGTGATAAGCAAGCTAGTTCCTTAGAACAACACTGAATAAGTTACGTTGGCTTGAGCACCAACTATCTATGCCCGGTCACTGCTTACCGAGGAAGGTCCTATTTTGTTTGCCAGATGTAGGGTAGCGCAAGGACCGCGTTTGGCAAAAGTTAACTTGGAAGCGGGAAATGAAGTCAAGGACGACAAAACTCGGTGCCATAGGTCCGTCTTCTTTTCCAGGCTGGAGTTCATGTGAACCGCCCTGTGCTCGGCTCGAGACTTTACAGGACATGGCTCGCAGTCAACACCAGTTGCTGCCGCCCCCTAGTCGGACTACCGGTTTAAAGTGTGTTTCGTGCTGAGTTATCTGCGGAGTACTGGCTGATTGTGACTCATAGCAGTGAAAGCCGCAAGGAAGCTGTTTCGCCGATGCCGCGGTATCTTTGCACGATTGTCCGCTGTTTGTGACGGCAAGTTTTTAACAAGGTGTAGGTACCCTGACTATGAATGCTTGCTTAGGGCATTAAGGTTTTACGCTGGGTCCCCTTCTCTCCCTCTTATTATTCTTCATTCAGCAGGCCGCCATGGTTGCACGGCAGCGAAGCATCAGTTCCAATGTCTGATGTACTGCCGCTGATGTTGTTGCTGTAGTAAGCATGTCAAGATATCGAACAGGAGTCTTCGAGCCCATTAAGTCCAACGGAAGTGTAAAAACAAAGAGGAAGATGCGGCAGGCATCTCAAGGCAGGTTATATATGCGCCAACCCTCGAGACGGCGAAGGGTGCAAAGCGCCCGTGGTAAACAAGATGTGAAGTCAACTAATCGAACGAGACTGACTGATGAACATTTGAAAGCAGGTCTGTTGATTGGATACCGCCAATGCAAACCCAACAGTAATGATATGTTGAAAGCCATACTGCAAGTTCACGAATCTTTTTTTGCTGCCTACTTTGTGTCATTCGGATGCATGCACACAACGTCTGAAGTAAATATCATTTTACTGACATCACCGCGGATAATTTTTCAGTTAGGAAATAGGTCCGGTGGCTAGACCACATGTTGCGCATGCCAGCCTACCGGCTCCCGCGACGTGCGTTTTTACTCGCTGGGGGTGTGGATAGAAGAGAAGAGGTGACCAAGCGATAACTTGGTCGAGTGGAATGAAGACTGTCACTTCGAAGCTGGCCTCGGCTCGCTGGTTGGGGTCCGAAAGAAGCTGAACAACTTTATCTGGGTACACTTGCCGACCTCAATGGCGTCCGTGCTGAGTCTCCTTGTCCCTTCCCATCCTTTTTAGCCTCCCTCTCCAACCACGAGTTCATTTCTTAGCATAAGACAATATTTCAGAATAAATTTTTTTACTACATAATAGCCGGCTGGTAGCTTTCCGGAACCACGCCCATCCGTTACTGATAGCTTAGCTGCCATTCATCTGATATGAGCATATTTTCCTTTCTATATGCATTTTGGCACAGTGGCTGAGGTGCTTTCCACCTTTAGATATCGTATATAATAATGAATGATGAGAAATATGTTGATGGTTTTTAATTTTGCTACGTCGCATGTCACTCAGTTGTGTTTAACATAAAATGCACAACTTCTGCTTTTGTATAGTTGCGCAGATGTTTCTTTTTGGTTCGTTGGTACTGCACAGAAATCTAATGCTGCCAGCACTCGTCATTTTGATGGTTACCAGGCCACAGTGAAAAACTGTTGGCGATCTCTAGTCTACAAAATGGGATTTTCTTTCCTAAGCTCCAGTTTTACGGCATCGATAACCCTATCATGAGCTGGATCGGCAGAATTATCTGTAAACGGCAGTTAGTGGGCAGGGTTCGGAGCTCTCTGTCTGACTCGATACAAGTCGAGTGCGGTGTGCTTCAAGGCACAGTTCCAGGGACATGACTGCGTTTTGTGAAGAATCGCTGCAGCTAGACTCAGGCAGACAGCCACAACACAGTCAGGAAAGTGTTAGATGCCGTTTCGTCCTATTCGGACTTGTCAGTAGCGCGCACCCGCCGAATCCTACCGGATTCGAGCCCACGACCTCACTTTTACGAGCCAGCGACTTATGCCACTGAGCCGTGGGTGACCGCCATGATTGATGTCTAACTGCGATATGGCGCGGTTCATCCTCCACCACCATGCAAATTATGAACGTGCAGCGGTAGTAATTAACGATATCGCAATGCAATAAGTTCAAATTGCATGGTGTTTGTCAGCGACATCAAGATATATCGCAGGATTTAGATGAGTGCCGAGGTGTATCACCTGCAGTGTAACCTGCATACGGTACATCAATGGTCAACCCAAAATTTAATGCAATTCAAATTAAACAAATGTGTAGTAGTTTCCATTTGACACCAGAGCATCTACTCATACAGGCTTGGAAGGGGAACACTGCATGGAGCTTCTGCCTAACGTGATCTGGGGTATTGGTTCATTATGACCTGGGGCTATCCGAACAATGCGAAAAGGCGTCGAAAACTGCTAAAAACACGTCGGATTGTTAAGAAAGGTGTTTTCGAATACTGACATCTCAAAGTTCCGGCCGTTGCTCAGTCCGTACCTTCTCCCCATGTCGAATACGCGGTGCAGACCTGAGACCCACGGCTAGGATATATATTACTGATGAGTAGTAGTGATGATTTTGTTATAATTCAGCTAATTCATCCTCGTCAATCCCAATCAGCAGGCTTAGGTTAGTCTGAAAAAGTACCAGACGCCAGAGTCTCGACCTTCTGGGTCTCGTCAGTAGTGCGCCTCTCAGCGGAGCCCTGCCGGGTTTCGCCCACACGAGTTCAGGATGCCAGCAGCTAGTGCCACTTCGCCATGGGTGACAGCCGCGGATCTTCGTAATGGACAGTTGACTATGATATAGCCCATCAACACCAGTAATATAAAATGTGTCCGTATAGCTTCTAAGTGCTATGTCGTACATAGGCGCTGTTGTAATACTTCTAGTTTACCTCTGCTCTCTGCCACTGACGACTACTGAACTGCTGATAGCTGCCCCTTGAGGCTGCGACTGTCTGACTGCTCAGTCAGGCGCCCAGCCCACCAACGGAATGCAGAAGACCAAGGTTCGGTAGACAGAGAGACTATTTGCATGAGAGCACGGCCCAATAAATAGGTTGTGAGCAAATACTTAAACAACAATATTAAAAATGCTAATTGGCGTTACTTAACACAACTCAAATGGTTCTAGTTTGTGATCCAACTTGCCTCTGATTCCCCATCAATTCGCATTTTGATCTATAGTCGAGTTCGATCTCTAATTGCAGATCGATGCACTTTTACGGCACGGCTCTCGGCTTGATTGCTAGCTGTAAGCTCTCTCCGTAACAGGCGCTATGCAGAAAGTCCTAGCTCGTGAGTCATGCCACTATCGTCTGCTCAGTTCGTAACTGGCATGGCAGTGGAAGATGAGCCGGACTATATCATAGTCAACTCTCAATCATGCAGATCCGCGGCTTTCACCCATGGCGAAGTGGCACTAGCTGTTGGCATCCTGAACTCGTGTGGGCGAAACCCGGCAGGGCTCCGCTGAGAGGTGCACCACTGACGAGACCCAGAAGGTGGAAACGACAGCGTCCGATATTTTTCCAGACTAGCCTAAACCTGTTGATGGGGAGTGACGACGAGGAATTTGCTGATTTAAGATGTGTATTAACTGCACTGGAGTTGCCCCAAAGTCGGGCTTTCAATGACGGCACCGGGATGCGAAATCTCCCATACGGGCAGAGGCTGAAACGCTTGGGAGTATTCTGCACGATCCAGACCGTGTGTGCCGCTCTGTACTGGAACTCAGCAGTAACACAACTACGAGCGGTCGCTTCTGAAATTGGCAGAAATGTAAAGCCGTCTGATGAGCAGCGGAAGTTTTGTTTTTATTTGCATGTGTCATCCGTGGAATACTCTCTCCGAATCAGTCGTTTCCGCACATACACTAGCCATATTTAACAATCGCTTGAATGACGCACTCAACAAATTACAGTTTGTTACTTAGCACTATCTGTCTTACGATATCAGTTAGATTTAGTGTCTGTCACTGAATCGTGCAGTGGACCGATGGGGAGCGCAGGAGGACAGTATTACAAAACGATAAGTCACTCTTTCGAGGATAAAAGTGTCAACTTCTTTTTTATTAGCTGCTTTCGCTAACTCCGCCCGGCCAACCTGCGGGACTTATAAAGCAGTGCTTATTAACCAGTGTAAGGTCACTATTCATTGTTCATATAGAGAACCCAATATCCAAGAATGGTGAACTTGATACAATATAAAATAAAGAGTGGTGGGCAAAATAATGTAGTTTAAAATTTAGCCGACGTCTTCGTATAAAGATGGACAGTGTAACCGCATGAATGAGACCCTTTTGATGTATGAAGCTCATATATCCTGATTTGTTGGGCTTTGTCAACGTTCTCAAAATTATTTTCTGTGGGTCTCTGGTACTTCTAATCCGTTATTATGATTAGCCAATCCATTTTAACAAAGAGGTCAGACGTACTTGTAATTGCTTTTCATCGACTGGTAAAACTTGTCGTAAAAATGCACTTCCAAATTTAGAGTGCATACAGTGCGGTCATTGCTGATTGCTTCTTGTGCCACGCGCATAACGTCCGATACTTCGGCAGCCTGGGAGCCGGACAAATTTCGTACCTACAATTGATGGATAGAAAGAACTTTTGTTGTAGTCAAAATAAGTGCTTGAGTGAAACCGTCCTAAGAACCAGGAACTACAAGACAGGTCACTTCCAGATATCCTACTCAAGGAAAACACCTGGCCATTTCCGTCAAACGACCCACTAAGTTGAATTCATTTAACAAGCAAATTTCGTCACCAGCCGCGATTCGTCGATAGCGTCGTCCATGCCTCATTGTTTTAAGTCGCAAACATACAATAAGAAAAGCCGCAATTCGAAACTGGTAGGATTCAGTGGGTGCGGGTCGTTGACGCATCCCAACAGGGAGAAGAGGTCGTCCAATGAAGCAGTGCTTGACAACTGGTACAAAAGCGGATCCTTGACAGACCCCCAGGGTGGCTAGCTTGAAGACTATGAGATGAAATCATGTCGATAAAACAAGGCGCATATCGCTGAACACATGAGGTTTTCACTAGCATAGATACACGCACTCCTGCCTAAAACGTAGGCAGAGTCTGATACATTTCACTGTTGACTCTGCGTTAATGTCGTCGTACAATACGCATGGGCTACACAAAACTATGTAAATGTGTCGATGGTGCGTATTTTTAATAGTGATAGGATGCGGGTATTTATTCCGATCGTTAGGAGGAAGCTTGATGGCTGTGACACTCGTGGGAGGGGAATGTTTCGTCGATATTTCAGCCGGCTGTATTGCGTGATCAGCTCAAATTGATGGATCCCCATAAATGCGCATTGGCTGAGTTTCAAAAGATGATAGCAAGAGTGGTTAGTATTATTTAGCATCAAATACACTATCGTGAGATTGCTCCGTAAACGCCGATAAGGTTCACTGTATAGGTTTATAGTTTCAGTCTGCGGGTAGGGAAACTGGGACAAACATTTGAGGAGCTTTGTCGTCCTGCATCCTTCAGTGCGGTGAGGTAGTGCATCTGCCAGGGTTGTCACGCTTGGACAGCGCATTCCACATGCAGCCTGACGTACGCACCAAGCATTTGCGAAAAGACTGAGACCTAAAAGTTTTTAAAGGCCCTAGGTAGGAGGCCGATGTGGTGATTTGATTCGTTTAATGCTCTTTCGGCAAAGGCTTCCTTGCAAGGGCATGCCAAAATTGCTGTCATGTGAACCGCGACCGTAGCTGTGAGTGTTTTGTTGGTTTATTCGCAAAACTTTGAACTGGAGCATAGTTGGTTAACCGGGTTTAAGCGCTATTCAGATAACCATGCAGCTCAATGTAGTCCTTCAAGTAACAACGGCACATCATTCTTAGGTGATCATTAAAGAGTAAAAAGGTTGGAGTAACTTCCCGTGCAAAATTATTTATTATGATAAGGAACAGGCGTGGCCCGTGTACCGAGTCTTGGGGTACGCTGCACTGGAGTTCGACTGGTTCGGCTAAGGTGATACGAACCTTCAATTTCACTTGATGTGGAATGAGAAAGTTATCTATTCACCCGAGACGATATAACTGATTCCGAAGCTTGTGAGGTAGAAATTGATCATCCAGACGATCAAATGTAGTTACACGGAATTGACAGACCCCCTCCGGCTTGACGGGCAGTCAGTAGGTTCGTGATGCCTGACCGATGCTAACGAAATCCGTGATGCTTCGCAGCAAGAATTCTGTGCCTCTCCAGGCACCCTATGATTGCCTCAATAACGATAGACTGCATGACCGTTGAGATCATCAGAAGTAGTCCTATAGCCCGACGATTCGTTGGCTTTACACTGCTGATACTCTTGCTGTTTGGAGTGACTATTCCGAGCTTTTACATTGTGGAAACCTGTTTCTCGTAAGCGCATCTTTGAAAGAATTTTGATAATGGTTCGACTAAGCTCATGAAAATCACCATCAATGTCTTTGGCCTAATGTCCTCTGCCCAGAGAAGCTGCATTCGCACAAGGTTATCAGTCGCCTATGTATGGCTGTAAAAGATACGTAGTTTATCTCTCATGGCCTGTTCGCGCAAAGGATGTTGAGAGGCTGTCTGTATTTGATCACCGCTGCTTTCGGAGCATTGATGGTGTACGATGGCAACATCACACTAGGAATGAAGATATTCCACGAAGGATGCTCAGATCAGACAGAATTTGCTGGCCATTGAGCAGTATAATTTCTCTGCGCAGACTTCAGTGGCTTGGGCACGTTCTCAGCATGCCTACTCATCCCTTACTTCACCGTGCACTCTTCGCGCACGCAGAAGTCGGCTGCAAACGAAAGCAAGGTGCTCAAGCTATGACTTGGGCCAGGAGCATGAAGGAACTAACATCAAAGTTAGCCGCGGTCGGACGCTCTCGGCCCCATGGCTGGAGTGTGAAGGATCCAGAACACACATAGCTGATAACGCCCTTGGACAGGGCAAGAAATTGTGCACAATGGCGGACTTGTTGTGACTCACTATTCCCATGAACAGCGTTTTCCCCCCTCTATCTTCCTATGTTTATTGTATTTTCCATAAGTTGTGGCACTATGCCAATTGTACTATTGGCCGTGTTGAATATATATATATATATATATATATATATATATATATATATATATATCATGACATTGAGATCTGCGTAGGAAGACCGGAAGATGACTGTTCACCTCGGAAGGTACCAATGAATTGATGTCTAGAGCGTCCGCTTCTACTAGTGCCAGTTGCGCTATCTCAAATGTGCTCGGTAGAGCAGAAATTCAGTGCATAACTCAACGTTAATTCGCGTGTCTGTAAAGCAGTTTGGGACTGGAGCAAAATCTTAAAACGTTTTATTGGTACCTCACTGGGATGTGTTGGAGGCATTGGTTCCTTTGTAGTGTGTACACAGCCAATATGTCCTAGCTCGGAGAGGATATGCGAACGAGCAAATCCCATTATTGTTCACCTTATATATAAATGACCTATCTGAGAAGCTAGGTGTACCGTCTCTCAGATTTACGGATGACCTTAAATTTTGGGGGTACGATCGGTAATCCATAGGGCTTCCATGATCTACAGCGCGCAATGGGACTGGTCTCTTTCGTAGCATCTGTTAAAAATATCCTTAAGCGTTCGACTTTACGCATTGGAAATAAAGGTCCACTTATGAGTTACCTTTTAGACGGATAAGAAGTAACGCGCGTGACTGAGGTGATTAACTTGGGTGTCATACTGTCATAGAATGACTAGTCTAGTTAAAACTGGACCAAAGTAGCCTGCAATGGATTCAGGATGCTGGAGATGATTCGCTACGAAGTCGGAACCCTTATATATGAAATCTTTATTGGACTGTACACAGCCGTCATCAGACCTGACCTGGAATGCTGCGTATAAACTGGTCTTCCCTGCTTAATCCAGGACAAGCTGTCAGTGAATTTGTCCTGAGGATCGACGTTAATGTGGTGTATGGGTTACGACGTATATCCCATTCCGAGAGACTGCTAAGATTATACGTTTTTTCCCGCACTATCGACGGTATAGGGGGGCCGGATTTCCACCTATCGCCTCTTGAACGGGTCAACTTGGCTTGGTTTAATTTCCATATTTCCAGTCAAACATTGTCAACACTCTGTGGTAATCCAAGTAACCTGGACAAGCCTCAATCGCATCGGTTTGGGACTGATAGCCGTTTATCAGGTAGAGTAATTACCGCTTGGAATACCCCAACCGAAAATGTGCTGACACCCACAGTAAGAGAGTTAGAGCATCGACTGGATGCACTTGGTTTGCAGCTACGAAACTTTCAATTCAGCTGTAGTGTTCGATCTACCTTAGGTGAAGTTTATCACAGTCCACTGAGACGTTGTTTAGATTGGATGCCACATCTCCGAAGCAAAATGGGTCGTCCCTATTTCCTACTCATGCGGGATTTCAACTCGTCCTGAGTACGCTAGTCTGAAGCTCAACTCATGCCCAGACGTTGTGAGCTTGAGGCAAAGTTTGTGGACTTGGTACTTGAAAGTCGAGCAGCCCAGCACATTTGTCAACCGACACGTAGAAAGCCGCACTCAACCCCGTTGTGCTTAGAGTTGATGTTAACAAGCTGTGAAAAGCATATGTATGACGATCAGATTTTGGAGCCCTTAGCAGCAAATTACCACTCAGTGCTCATGTATCTACCTTTACCGTAGTTCTGTCTACTGGAATCAGCTAACAACTACTGGAAAACTGATTTCGACGGCCTAACTCGATCCGCGAGCCAAGTGGATTGGCCTCAACCATAAGTAGCATCTGTGGAAGACTGCTGGACTGGTAAAAGAGAGGAAGTGACATCATTGCGTTCTTGATTTGCACCACTAAAGTTTTGGCAAGTGGGACCCGTCAGGCTACATTGTTTCGAACGAGGACATGGCAAAATGACTCGGCGGTTGCGCAAGTTTTTGGGACAATTCCTGCTCTCCAGCTCCTATAAAAACTACGGGGTGTATAAGAGGCAGCGGAATATTTGTAACAGTGCAAAAGCGAGCAAGCGCCGGCAATTCGAAAAGAAGCTCACAGCCATCGCAAAAGACGCTCCGAAAAAATCTTTATTTATGTGAAGCAGCGCCTCAAGCTTGCATATGACCTACCAGTGCTAGGGCGCGGATTGACAGCACCTAATCTTCAGCACTGAGCGTGCGTCCGCGTCGGAGGCGCATTTCGTTTGCGTATTTGCAAAATACCTGGTGTCTGTACGTGGTTCGACGTGTACCGCCTATACCGTGGTTTGCGATATGGAAGACGTGCGTCAACTACCCTGAAAACATAGTAGAACGAAGCATGACGGGCCCGATGGGCTCTACACCCTATCCACAATCATCTCGCCTGTCGTGACGGATCTGTTCAACAGATCGCTGTCCGAGGGTGCATTGCCGAGAGACGGGAAATGCTCGATAATGGAGCCGATTCCAAAAGGTGGTGACCCGCGCAATATGCACAATTACCGTTCGATTTGTTTCACCTCTGTTTTGGCGAACGTGCTAGAGAAGATTGTGAGAATGGGTCCTCTCCAGCTGCCGAAGTCAAAAGTTCTCCTAAATCTGGCACAGCACGGCTTCATGAAGGGCCACTAGCACATCACTAACCTGCTGTTGACACGACAGGAATGGTTACAAGTGTTGAACCGGGGGAAGTCAGTGGATGTTATCTACATTGATTATAGTAAAGCTTTCCATAAAGTGAACCATAAGGTCCAGCTCCACTAGCTGAGGATGTGTGGTATTGGTGGCGCACTGCACCAGTGGAAAAGTGACTTCGTTATGGGAGAAGATATCGGGTTCAGATGAATCACCACCTAACGCACTGGTACCTGTCCACTAGCGGTGTACCCCAAGACACAGTGCTGGGGCCCATTTTATTCCTCATGCTTATCAACAAAGTACCTCAGCTGCTTCGGTCATCTTGTGCACTGTTTGCAGACTACCTGAAGATATGGAAGGTTATTGATTCTCCCGACGACTGTGACGTCCTTCAGCAGGACCTCGATCGCCTATCCCGGTGGTCTGCAGAAGGAGGCCTATCGGTCAACCCGGCTAAGACCTCATTTACGAACCTGGGGAGGGGTGGTAATGGGCGTGCATACACCCTGCCCGGCCACCCGATGCATCCTACCAGTTCCGTAAAGGATCTAGGCGTACGCTCATGCTGTGATCTGAAGTCTGTCGACAACACGAACAGAGTGTACGCAAACGGACTACGCCTGCTTTGGGCACTTAGAGGCAGCTTCTGCACTTGGTCTTAAGAGATTGCCACCCGACTGTTCACTTCCATTATAAGACCGGTGCTTGAGTGCGTCTCACCCGCCTATTGTCCGATCAAAATAGCTGAGGTGCAGAGACTGGAACGGGTCCAGCATTTAGCTACCCGGCACAGGCCCAGTTTACGGGGTATGTCGTATGAATACCGATGTAGGAGACTTAGGCTGTGTTCCATGTCATATCGTCGGCTACGAGACGATCTCATTATAACGCACCGGATACTTCACCTAGGTCACTTCCCTATGTTGAAGTTGATGCTGCATGTTCGCGCAGCAATCAGCACACGCGGACACGGATACAAACTAGTGGTACCGGATTTAAAGCGCATCGCTCACCCTCAATGCATTGAGCGTCGAATGGCGAAATATTGGCACAAGTTGCCGAAGACAATAGCCGGGGCGAAATCGGTGTCGGAATTAAGGAGATTGCTAGATGTCCACTTTGCTGACTACAGGTATAGGGAACGTATCGCACCCGGATAAGATGTAGTGTAGCTGCAATATGCAGACACCGTGCAGGAATCAGCGACGGGATTCCGCGCGCGTGCCGGATCCATCTATGAGGGAACAAAACAGAACTTTATCTTTTCGCTCTTCAGTATTTAGTATTCGCATTGTTTAATGATAGCGCGCAATGAAACACCAGGCACATGAAATATTCCCCATAGACAAGTAAGTGTGCAAGGCTACGTACAGCATCGCAAGTATCACCTTTCGCAAAAATTGGTCCTTCAGGCACAAACGGTTCACTCGACAAGCAAGCTCGGTGAAAATGGTAGCATTACAAGCATGTAGGAACCTCGATGTAAACAACTGAGTCATTTCCATAACTAGCGACACCTCTGCATTCAAACAGATCCGCTCAAGCGTAGTCAAATTATAGCCAATCAGCGCGTAGATGAAATATGCGTTTGCGTCCAATCAGCTGCTCTGTTCGCTAGTGACAACCCAGCCACCTGCTTCGCCATGTAAATCCGCATCGCACTTGTGCTTACGCAATCCCAGCACATCCTTCCCTTTTAGGGGAGCAGCCGCATCGGTGTAGAGGAAGACTCCGTAAACTCCCACTCCACGTAGTATTGGCTGCCCCTGCCGTTGTGACCTCCCCTTCAGCCATCAAACGCTCTGCTGCAGATTCACCTTCTCGTTCCCGGTGTCGCCTCAGCTGCACTCGGTTCCTTCTGGTTACCATCCCTCCAGTACTGATTTCATAAGATGTTTCCACAACCTTCGTAGTCACTACACCTTACTTCTATCCTTCGCTAACACTCAGTATTGGCTGGATCCACACTTCATTTAATGATAGCTCAGAGAGCGCCCGGGTCCTGCGGTCGTAATACCGTTTTCATCAGCCATCCGTTTTCTTAAATTCCTTTGCAGCTGCTCATGAGACGACAAGAACTAAGTGGAATTCCCTTACGGAGGAATATGATTTTCTAGAGGAGTGTTTTGATTCCGTTATAGATGCATCTGACTGCACCAGTCACACTAAGTAGAATAAAAATATAATGGATGTAGACGAAATAAAACTGATTGCCAATTAAAGCTAGTCCGGCAATCACAGGCCAAATCTGATACTTTGCCCTTCAGAGACGATGTGAAGAACGAGCGGGACTCAGATATCTGAACTTAATAATCCAACGCTCCTTTTGGCATTTAATGAAAAGGATCCAAAACATACACCAAGTTTTACCGAAAGCAGACGAAGTACCGCTGAGTATCACTCATTTGTAACAGAGAACATATCTGACAAATGTGGCGGTAGCGTTTTCAAAGTCTCACCTGAAACATCCCGGATATTATTAGGAGAGGGAAGAATCCCAGGAAAACCAAGCTTAACTGCCAGCTATTCACAAAGGCTATGATTATGGTGACGATGAAAAGTACGGCGGCTTCCACAATGGATCCCAGTTGAGATCCGGAAATATTCTTCAGTTTGGAAGCCTCCGTTGCCAGCTTAGCCGTCAATGCGCCAGCCTGATTTTCCGATCGATCAAACCATCCGATCTCCTTTAAAATGGAAAAGCAGAAAAGTTACCAAAGAGTTGGTACTTTGAGCACAAACAAACAAACTCATGCAGTATCTGCTTAAATTGCAAAGGTAAAATTTATATTTACAACCAGAAACCTCACAATTGCTCGCATTAATGACGGAGGTACACAAATCATATGGGGCAGTACCATCAGCAGCAGTACACGAGAGCTTTGAACTGACGTGCTGCTGCAATACAACCATAATAACATGTGGAATGAGAAGTACTAGGGTACTGACAGAGAATAGGTAGATTTCGGTGCTCATATCCAAGGACCGGGACCAGAAAGCATAGATTCGGTTACCTTAATCCAGGAAATCATCACCATCAGTATCAATAACAACAACGATACTGAACTTATGGTTATCTGAAATGCAGCTAGGATGGTCTATGGGATGAAGAGTCCTCAGAAGGATGTAAGGGAGGTTAGTACAAAAACTAAACGTCTTAGATTAACATTCAAGCTCGAGACAACTTGTCGATAACAGTCACAAGCAGCTGGCTATTCTGCGAATGTGGCACCGATGTGACGGTTTCCTTGCGGTTTTCACTGCTTCCATCCTAATAATTTCCGTTTCACGTGTAACGCAATTTCACACAGTTTAACCGGACTATCAGACTAGGTAGTGACAGTGGACGCGATACCGATGACGGTTGCCAGCCATGGCCTCTAAAATTTCGAAACATCCACGGGACAGATGATGCGGACCTGGCGTTAGCATGCGGAAGAAGACATCAACGCCCCCTTTTCAATCGCTAGTGGTTTCATTTCTCACTATTAGATCAACTTTTATCCGCCTCAAACCTATATCCGCTAACCAAAACAATCCTTTACTTAGTGCGCAGTGGGTAGGTCAGTCAGTCAGCCAGTCAGTGTGCTTTAGGTACCCAAATGGGTGCCTTTAGAGCATTTTACATCATCAACAATAAATGTATGAGAGGGTTACCATCAAAAATGTTGACTTTACAAATGGGTAAAAAATAATAGGATTGAACTGTGTTACCTCGATCGCGCAACGATTCCATAACGCTGAACTACATCTGGAAGATTTGCATCCATTCAGAACAGAAAAGGTTTCAGTAAAACATTTCTTCATAAGTCGTTTCAGTTGACGTAAATTTTTGTGTCCAAATGAAATAGATCGTGATCGTGCGAGATAGCAGAGGGTTAAGGTTCATAAGGTGGATAAAGTAGATTGGTCGCAGTGACCTTGGAAGTTGATTGAATAAAATATAGATCAGTTTATTCTTGCAACGCTGATACACCTACGGTAGATAATGTAAAAATGATGTTTGGCGAAAAATCGACGGTCGATTTAAAGGCACCCCCAAGTGTGCAACGCAATGTAAGTAACGTTATTTGTGGCTCTAAGGAATTAACCTGATTACCGCCGCCATGTACTGGCCTATGTACACCGTTGTTGCGCACGCGTTGGTGCCATCGACATGAGCAATGTTCCGCATCTTTTCATTGTTACAATACGCGTGAACAAAATTCACATATACACTGTTCGTGCATTACTTGAGGCAAACGTAATGATAGCAAGATTAAAATACAGTCCATTGGCAAGTTTCTTCTCTATGGGGAGAAATGCCAATCCATGAGCATTTTCTGGTTAATTGATTATTGAATGTGGTCTGTTATAAGCCTGGGTGTTGAGAATGCGATCTCACAACTGGCAGTACAAATAGTTCCAGTAAGAAAGATGCGCAGCATAGTTCACTAGGTAATATTTCCATATGAAGCGCAAAGTTTAGAAGATAAAGCACATTTTCGTAGCTTGGAGCTTTCACAAAATACTATAATCTTCTTTCGGCAAGGAATTCCTATGTGCTACATCTCCATCAACTTCGCTAAGCGGAAAACCATAGTTATCATCTAGCAGATTCGACGGTGTAAGAAAAGCATATTTGTTCGCAAGATCATGGATTTGCTGCAATCTACGGCATTCCATCATTCAAAATGTCTATGACAGACATCGATTCCCCTTACCTTAGCATGGAACCCCATCGATATATCAAAAAGTCGTCACCGTCCATTCGTTTTGGCGTATTTGACGCTTCATGCTTATTCCCAATTCAGCGTAGTGTTTTCAGATTTATCCGTTGCAATGTACAACATGTTCTTTCTATTCTGGAGAAAACGTACACTTAGGGTTGTAAGCTTCACAGTACTTCGCTGCAGATCCAGCCTTTTTGTTTCATCAAGTCTGTGTATCTTCGCTCTCTAATAGCTCAGAAACAAAATAAACAAAAGCGAAACCGAGCTGAAATGCACCTGATGTTGTTGTTGCATTTTTTCTTTATTCTGTGAGATGCTTCAGAGAAGTGACCAGTTCCGAGTATTTGTTCACCACAACGTTTATCCCCCTACTGGACTAATCCATCTAGATTTTACAGCCACTTGATATATATACCAATAAAAACCATCAAGCTTGGATGAAAAAGGATGAGAAATACTGGTCCACTGTATCAAAAATAGAACGTAAGGAGCTGTCCCAGAATATCAATGTACACAAGTCAGCTTCAGGGAATGGTTTGTGGATGGCACAAATGTAGCTTTGGGCTGGTTTAGCAGATGTCTCTGCACACCCAATCGGCAGCGTACCATAACAGCAGGGTTGTCACACGCGTGGCCACAGCAGTCATCAATATGAATTTCATCGTTCTTTGGTACTCTCAAAACCAGTCCAGAAATTACCTGTCTTTTTGATGTTGGTCTCAATCGAACTAAGAAACGATTCTCCTACCGTCACCGCATTTTCGCTCATCTGATTTTTGTGGGATACGTCGGAAAGGTCATTTAATATTAAACAGACATACTTGATTTCCGTGACCTAATCGGTGATTTGCATTATCATTTGCCTTACCAAAACACTCACTAATTTATTTAGAACCTGTGGTGACAAAGAAAAAATGCTGATTTTCCTTCCCAGCTAAACTGTCACCAAATGTTCACTAAAAATGGGTTCATACTTGGCTGGCAAATGTGTAAATTCTGTGAAATGCTCTCTATTTCCCTGGCTTCGTTTGCCATTCTGGATGTCTTCTCAGTGATCACACGGTGTGATTGTTTGCTTGGCGATAAAACTGACACTATCAAATATTCTGGCTAGAATTCCGCGCCGCCTCTTTTTACTTCTGTTGACTCCATTTTGTCGTTTACTTTAACTAGCGCATCGCCAGCTCTTTGCTGTTTGGTAATGACTGAGCATGCGATTTACTAGATTCGAGCTTACATGCTTTTGGATTTAATTTCCACCAAGTTCTGAAACCCTCATCAGCCGGGTAAACACACTTTACGGTTGAAGACATCCTGTAGCCAAAACCAATCAGGGTCTCATTTGAAGGAGAAGACACTATCCGTGTTCGCAACCTTGCTTCACTGTTTTTCAAATTCCGTAAAAATCTGTTTGTTGTTAGCATCTTAGCCTCATTTCAGGTAGTGCCCCTTATGTAATTCATGGTCGATGTGCTGCACGACAGTAGCTCAGAGCCGGACAAGTATAGTGAGAATTGCATGACCAATCTTAACAAGTCACTGACAGACATCCATAAGATCGGTTGATGTGCGTGTTATCGTGACGAAGTGCGGTTGCGTTTCCAATTCTTCAACTCCGCGCGCATCTACTATATCATAATTATAAACCTTCCCGCTGTATCCGTGCTGTCAATGTTGCTTTCTTTCGGTCGGATATCAATGTTCGCAATACCAATTTCATCCTCGGTCTCAGTATGAGTAGTAACTTCATTATTCTTATGGAAGTAACTTAGATGAATATACACTTGGTACCGAACAATCATCTATACAAAAGTGCCGCCCACTGTCACCTGTCGCCCGGGGCGGACTGACACCTCATCTCCCATCCTACGCCCCTTCTTCAATGTCCCAGACAGAGATCCATTGATACCTGTGATTCGTACGCTACTTAAGACTTGCACTCTAACAATAATTCGCTGTCATCATCATCACCATCATCATCAACAGCAGTACATCAGCCATTTGAACTGATGCTTCGATGCCATACAACCACGAGGACTTATGAAATAGAGAATAAGAAGAGGGAGAGAAGGGGGACTTACCTGAAAATCATAATGCCCTAAGCAAACATTCAGGGTCAAGGCGCCTACACCTTGTGTAGACAACATACCGTCACAAACAGCTGGCTATCGTGCAAAGATAAGGCGGCATCGGCGAGACAGCTTCCTTGCGGCTTTCACTGCCAAGCGTCATAATCAGCCATTACCCCGCAGATAACTCAGCACCAAACACACTTTAAACAGGCAATCCGATTAGAAGTCGGCAGCAGACGCGCCACTGGTGTCTACTGCGAGGCATGTCCTGTAAAGTCGCGAGCCAAGCACAAGGTGAGTCACGTGGACTCCAACCCGGAAGGCGAGACGGACCAACGGCACCCAGTTTGGTTGTCAGTGTCTTCATTTCCCGCTGCCAAGTCAACTTCTGTCCACCTCGAGCCTTGCGCCACCCTACACCTGGTAGACTGTACAAGGCCCTCCTAGGTAAGCGGTGACCAGGCATGCGTAGCACGTGCCCGAGCCAACCTAACTTACATGGGATTGACTTCTTGACTGTTTGAATGACCAAAATCGATAACTTGAGACAGAGATAGAGATGGTAGACCAAGTAAACTAAATAAACATATGTACACAATTCTCACTAGTACAAGGTAATTAAGTAGGTAAGATGACGTCCAAATAACTAAGTAACGGTGTCCGTTGGCCAAGGTAGTAATATCGGCCGTATAAATCGTTTTTGGACACATAATTCCGGCTTTAGATGGTGAATGTACATAGCCTCGGCGATGGCTAAGAGCTGTTTGCGGAATCCTTGGGAGAAGTGTTCAGGTAATGAGTAAATGACTTTGAAGTCATTCTCCGAAGCTGTATGGCCACATTCAAGGAGGTGCGACATGATAGAGCTGTCTGAAGACCTTATTTCGCCTCTGTAAAACCATGCCGGATGTGTTCACGAACCCTCTGAGATAGGCGTCTCGTCGTGCGACCCACGTATCGTGCACCACAGGAGCACGAGTACTGATAAATGATCATTGAACGGGTCAATGGCGGTAGTCTATCCTTCAAGGGTTTTGTAAGCAACGGCTTATTGTGAAAAACGATTCTCAGGCGGGCCGCGAAATAAGTTTTCTCGACAGCATCTTTCAGGCGTCTGGATAACATATCAGCTGCAGAATCGCCCTTAAAGGGTACATGTATGAAAAGCTCTTTCTTAGGAGCAATGCTCCTAGGTGACTTTCGATTACGTTCCTTCAAATGTTTCATGATAAATTTATCCGGATAGCCATTTTCCCTGAGGGCGTCGCTGATTCTCTGTAGTTCTTCGTTGACGGTATCCGGTGTACAAATACTGCGCGCCCTGAAGGCGAGAGATCTGATTAAACTCCGCTTGTGCTGTAGTGGTACTGCGCTGTGGAAGTTAGTGTACTGCCCAGTCCATGTGTGCTTTCTGTGTACCTTTCTGCTGCATGATCCGTCTGAGTTACGGATAACTTCTACATCCAAGAAAGGTAACCGGTTTCCGAGTTCGTGTTCACAAGTGAAATGAAGATTCTTGTGTGCGTCATTGAAAGCTTTCAGCAACTGTTCCGCATGCTTTTCGGATTTGCAAAGTACGAAGGTGTCATCCACATACCGTACGTACATTTCAGTTTCACGGATGTGCGTTGCAAGTGGGCCATGTTCCAGTTTCGCCATGAATATATCAGCCAGCAGCGGCCCCAAAGGAGATCCCATTGCCACTCCGTCAATCTGACGGTACATTTCACCATTGAAAGTGAACTGAACATTTAACGTGCAACGAAGTAACACCTCCTTTAGCAAAGTCTCCGGAAAAGTTGTGTATATGGGCAGTTGCCGAGCAAGCTCGCATACGTAATCCACGGTTTCGAGCAATGGAATGTTTGTGAACAACGACTGGGCATCGAATGATATCATCCTTTTGTTAACAAGGTTGCTTTCAGATATCCTCTCAATGAATTCGAACGTGTCTCTCACGCAGTAAGTACAAACCAAATTCCGTAACGGCTGCAGCTTCGCCACCATCCACTGGGCCAACAAATGCTGAGGAGAACCCACCATGTCCAAGATTGGGCGCATTGGGGCGCCTTCCTTGTGAAGTTTAGGTAGGCCATATAATCTCGGTAGGTGTCCACCTGAAGGCTTCAGCTTTTC